GTATTATCCCAGGCCAGGTAGGATATATAGAGTAATTCATTATAGCATATGGATCTTCTCCAGGGTTTCTTGCTATAGGACACTTCAAGAACACCTCTGCAGAGCTAAGATGCTTTAAACACCTCAGCTTCCTTCACTGCCAAAGAGCAGCATTCTCACTCCATGTTTCTTGATACATGGGCTACACAAACTACACCTGAAAACATGGTGTGCCTGTTGATCTCACACTTTATCATTGACTCTAAAATACTTGCACTCCTTCATAGCGGGCAGCATCTTCAATCGTTAGATGTACTGAGTTTCATAGCAAGTGCAAACTGAGCCCCACATTTGATCAGAGCATAACCACGTAAGACTCAACAGCAATTATAGCCAAAAAGAAGATCAAACACGGCAGATCAGATGATATGACTTCAAAGTGAATTATCATTGGCCATCAATTGTGAAAGGGTAGCCTACAGGACAGGCGTGGGCGTAGATATCAAACAACAAGTCCCGCAGCAGAAGTATAAAGTCCCTAGATGCCTTCTTCTCCGGGACCCCGACTAAGACCACGGTGCTCAGCCAGGGGATAATGAGAAACTAAAAAAAAAAGAGCACAATCCAGCACAAGCCAATTTGCGTGGATAGGTGTGAGACTTTAACAAAATGCAGTTAAAAATATGTGTCCCACTAGTCCAGTATGGTGTTACAATGCCAGATTGATACGGAGTCACTTGGTCACATGGAAGCTATTGAAAAAAGCATTTTCTATAAAATAGGAAAAAAATGAGGTTAGAATGATGAGTACATGTTGTTGGGGTCATTTGGTATATCTTGTTACAGTTAACTAATATATAGTTATATTTGGCAATGTCATTATAAAGTAAGGAGAAAACTGAAAACAGAAAGTCTGTTTAGATCCAATGTTAGCAGGTGCTCTAAAATCAACTGCAACACGATTACCTTGAGGCTGATAATAAAAGAATAACAGACAACAAGCAGGCTGTGTTTGCTCGGACTGTCACATTGAAACAAGACAGACAGAGGGAACATTTGAATCACTTCCTGCAAACGACTTACTGCAGATCGGTCTCCGAGGTGACCATGGTGACAACATTGCTGGTCTGTTTGTGTTGAAGTGTGGTAGTGGCTTTTGTTTATCCTAAGAGCAGGATGAATTCACTCAGCCAAAGGCTCTTGAGCTTTCCGCCTAAATCTGTCCCAAAGGCTGACTTAACAGGTAAGTAATACTTATGCTGTGTACAAAGTAAAGTACCCACATGTGACCTGCATGTTATAAGTATGGACTTATGAAGGAAATGTTTGGACACATCACAAAGATTGAGTCTGTGCTTCCGGTCAAGGCTTGTGTTGACTGAAGACAACTAGTAGGATACAAAATAAAGGGTTTTAGATGTTATAATATCAATGACAATGAACAGGCAATAGAAAACCACTGTTGTTCAGCATTTCTGTGTTCAGGAAAAACAGATGGCATCATTTAGTGGTACTTCTCCATGTTTGGAACAGCATGATAAGCAAAACATCGGTTGTATGTCAATTTAGAATGTGACATAAGCATGCAAAATTGTAGACTTGGTTGCAGATGAAAAGTGTTTAATTTGGAGCACTGAAAATGTTTTCCATGCATTTTGGAGGTTCTGCCTGATAAATGTTTCTTAGTGTGCCTAATGACAGTGTGCCATGTGAAAGTAGGTGACATCAGGCCCTGAAAATATGATGTTGTGCTTCAGTACCTGCCTTTCCTAAAGCAGAGTCCTGCCAACATCAGCCTGTTTCTGGGTAAGGCCACCACAGCAGGGCCGTGTCCCTGAAAGTACTCTCATAAAAAAAGCAGCTCTGCACGCAGCACAATTGAACTCTGCCCACCAAATCAAGAGTAATTAACTGCAAACCAACTACATACATTTGAAAGGGCAATTTACTTAAATAAGAGGAATTATTTCCAATGCTTATGTTCACCACTGACTAAAAATATCTCAAATGTACTTTTAACAGCAAAGAGAAACAAAGAAGAGCTTTTGTGTGGTCACTAGGGGTGTAACGGTACACGTACCCGTACCGAAATTATTCGGTACGGGCCCTTCGGTTCGGTACAGGTGTGTACCGAAGTGTACCGAACGAATATAACGTTAAACGTAAAAAATTGAAAACGTGAACAACTTTTTGGAAGTAATCTCAGGTGCTGCGTCGCAGCATTCAGAGTAATTTGCTCACATTGTGTTCAACGCGTCATAGAGCGAGCAGGTCATTTCATTGGATGAGAGGCATACTATGAGAGCGGGTCAGAGGGATGCGTTCAAATGTAGTCAGTAATTTGAGGAACTGTCGAAAATTAATGACGAACGCAGATAATGTTGAGCTAGAAAATCCTCCAGCATCATTTAAGTCTCCGGTTTGGGAACATTTTGGTTTTGCAGTTACGAACAAGGATGACGGACAAAGACAGGTGGACCGAACCAAAGCTGTTTGTCGGCATTGTTCAACTAACATTGGTTACGCGGCTGGCAATACATCAAACTTGCACACTCTTGAAAAGGCATCACTCGAACGTGAATATCACCGGTACCAAAAGAAAAAAGACTGAAGTGCAAACCCAACTCCCGCTAGCATGTAAGCCTCCACCACTCGCAGAGAGTTCAGACCGAGCCAAAGCTATTACAAACGCCAAATATCCTTATGTTGCCATGTTAGCAAAGCGCTACCTGGCTGTATCTGCTACCTCTGTCCCTAGAGAGAGGGTGTTCTCCACAGCAGGAGACATTGTTAGTGCCAGCAGATCTGCCCTTTCAGCAGCAATGTGGACAAGTTCATCTTTCTTTAAACAACATGAAAATACAATGACAAGCAAGTCCTAATGTCAAACTGGCTGCTTAGGTACAGTACAGTTCAAATACAGATTATTTCAGTTCATCGAAATGCTGCACCTTAATGTTCATTTTATTATATTTTGTATTTATTTGAGTGAATATTCACAGTTTAATAATAATTAAAAACCCAAAACTAATAGTTTATGTTTTGTGAGTACTAGTACAGTAAAGTTCAAATACAGATTATTTCAGTTCATCGAAATGCTGCACCTTAATGTTTATTTTATTATATTTTGTATTTATTTGAGTGAATACATTATTCACAGTTTAATAATAATAAATATATATATATATATGTTTTGTTTTGTGAAAAAAAATTCTGCTGTACCGAAAACGTACCGAACCGAACCGTGACCAAAAAACCGAGGTACGTACCGAACCGAAATGTTTGTGAACCGTTACACCCCTAGTGGTCACATTGAGTAACTTTATTGAGATAGAAAATTAAGAGAACTGCTAAAATAAAATGGGTGGTAATTCAAACCAGGCAAAGCCGGGACAAATAAAGGAACAGATGTGTGGAGGCACCAGAGTTTGGTACTTTCATCAACTTGGTGGTATGTCACATGGGTTTTTGCACAGTACAGTGTATTTGTCTGCTGAAAATGAACCACATATCAAAGTACTGTATGTTTTTTATTTTGGATCAATAGTACTGTGGGTGGCATGAGAAGGCCTAACACAGCCACCATGTTGCTTTTTAAATAACTCAATTGCCTTTTTGTGAAATATTGCTGTTTGCTTTCTTGCTTGGAGTGAGAGAAAACAGATTTTGGCATCTTTGGACTGAGGCAAGAAAGCTGTTGCCCCGTTTCCAGTCTTTACGCTAGAATAGTTATCCAGCTGTTGGCCTAAGGCTTGTGTTTCCCAGACAGTGTGGTATTAATCCTTTCATCTTGGCAAAATAATAAACAAGAATATTTACTGGGATTTTTAAAGCAATGTCATTATCTCTTTGTTTGGTCATAACTCGCCAGCCCATTTTTGTACATATTTCAAACAATGGCATATTAAAGTTCCAAGACAAATATGAAACAAACACCATTTCTGCAGCAAAAAATAAGCAAACCTTTTGCCGTTTAGTGACCAAGCTGTATGAAGGCTCAGCTGGACATCACAAGAACAATGTGTCCAAAATGTATGGTAAAACATAAATATGGACATTCAAATAGAACTTGGAAGGAAAAAAAGTAAAATGAGTGATGGGTCTCTGCGTCCTCTCTCACAGAGGGATGCGCAGTCAGATGTGAGATCATTGCCTCTGACTGCAGAAGGGTGGAAAATGCGTCAACAGTGGACGGACATCAAAGAGCGCCCGTCCATAGGGGTTAACATCCACAAGAGGTTATAAAAACACATCTATAAACACAGGCCCCACCAATGAGCCACACTGTCAACTATATCTGGCAGTCTGTTGTCGTCATAAACTAACATTAGGTAAGAATATGGTACGCAGAGGCACCACATGCGTAAGCACATTCACACAGGGAGACACCCCAGAGGTGTCAGAAAAACGAGCATCTCAACATAAACCTTTATTAGCTGATGTAAAAATCAGACTAATGGTATAAGTGAAGCTTCACAGAATGGAGAAATGTGTTAAACTTCAAAGGTGATAGAAGTGCAGCAAGGTGCTGGTTTCCTTTAGTTTTTATATTTAAAGAAATTGACGGAGACACATGACCCTATGAGTGTTTAACACAAAGACTGCACTTGAGTGCTGTGCTTTATTTTCTTTAAAGAAGAGCATTTTTTTGAAGATTCTCAAAGATGTTTTAAATGACTATTATAAACTATCTAAGATAATAAAAACACTTTAAGAAATTGGAATTGATGCACACTATTTCTCTTTCAAACAGGACATGATCTTAAGGTCCATTTGACATGTGCTCTGGAGTTTGATCACATGATCTATATGAACAGATGGGAGTCTAATGACCATGATCAAAATCTTCAGAACAGACGATACATTGACATAAAGACAGGTATTATAGAAAGTCCAAGATATTTTTAGAAAGGCAAAGAATAAAGTTAACTGATGAATATGATGAGAATACCATAAAACAATATATTAGCCATGTTTGGTGCAATATTAGTGAGCAGCAGTAAAGGACAAATGGACAAAGATTTCCAAAAAATGTCTTTATTTAAGAAATTATGGTTCTAGACAAATAAGGTAAACCTAAATAAAAAACATTGAAATGATTCCATATACACAATTATAAAGTGGTATCTAAAAACAACTGAAAACACTGTCTGGTGGCAATAGTCTGCCGTACACTGACACAAGGTTGATGACTTCCTGTCAGATATGTCTGCGTCCTCGCTCATTTCACCCTGAACATCTGGGCATTATCATTTCAGTCCACAGCTGACAGCAGCATTAGCTGACTAATTTTCCTCCTGACACTGATGGGTATGAACAGGCTCTTTCACAGCATCCTCCTTAGTCATGCTGACCTCAGCACTCTTCTCTGACAGCTCAATTGTCATCAGTAACCTCATTAATACACAGATCCCTGCTGCTGTCACTGTGTTTATTAATACCATCGTTAACATTTAAGTCCTCCCTGTCATTAATCATCTCCATGTTATTAGCAGGGCTTTTGGCATCATCACAGCTCCTACCACATGGGGTATTGTCTTCAATTGTTCCTTCCTCCTCCTCTTCATCACTACTGTCTGGGATTTCTCCCTCCTCTACATCTTCATTCCCTGCTTCTCTCTTGGCCCTTTTCACTTGTGGGGCTTCAGTTTCAGGGTTGGTGTCTGGGGTTTCTGTCCAGATGTTGCTTGGTGAAACTCGGATCACATCTTCCTCCTCTCGATCCGCCCGTTCCCTCTTCGCTGCGAAACTATTGCAGGCTGATGCGGGTTCAGCTGAAACAATATGACCCCATCGGCGTATGAAAAGCATGATCAAACACAGCTCTAGCAGCAGTTAAACATTCTTACAAGTCAATAGGTAACCAAAAGTGATCAGAGCGGTCAGTTGCACAAATATGGTTAGAGCACAGCTTGGGGTCATGCTTCGAGCCACATGGAGGAAAGAGAGGAAGAGTACAGACAGTTTGGGAATGATGACGCTATGGTTTGGCTTCATGCTGGGTTCCAGGGTGAGGCTGGGTGCCAAGCAATTAGTTATGCAATAAAGCAGAATAGACATGCGTGAAAGAAAGAAATGACTGTAAGAATGATAATTGTGAATTATATGCAATTACACCCCAACATGATCTCCTAACAGTCTGCTGAATCATAAAACGAATGAACCCATTTAAAAATCACTTAAAGCTTCAGACATTTTTGCCATTACGTCTTTGTCTGTATTCTAATAAATGGTTATAAGCTGATCCCATATTATGAGAGTTAAGTGTAATTCAGTTTCTGTTCTTTTTACTGAAACACGCAACACAATTGAAAGGAAAAGCCTGCCTCGAAATTACCACTTGTCTTTCGCACGGACCATTACTTATAGGATTGAAAGGCTCTAACATTTTTCAACCCTATAAAGTTGAGGTAAGGAGTTTGAGTTATGGGTTGAGAGCATTCTCAACTAAGTAAAAATAACAAATACAAGCCTGCTTTGGTACATTGTTGACTGTGATGTATCCATCTATATGTTTTTGTCATAAAGGGGCGGCAATGGCTCAGTCTGTAGGGACTTGGCCTTGGAACCGAAGGGTGGCCACTGGCCAGTTCACTTCCCAATCTTTCAGGGAGCAAAAATACATTTGCTTACATATGCGAATCAATTTGTATTTTTGATGCAGTGCGGATATCAACTTTGGTGTTTCAGGCTGATATCACTTTTGCAGACGATGGTCACATCTGCATGTGGTATTGTGCCTTAAGGCTCGATAGTGTATTGGTACAGGGGTTATGATTCAAAATGGCCATATAGTGGTACTGAAAGCAAAGCGATATATAACTATTTTAGAATAGAACTAATTGTAGAAAAACCGTCATATACCATTTACACCACCAAATGTTTTTAGTAATTATGTTTTGTTTTTTTATAGATTTATTTGGGAAACCAGTGCCTTGATTGAAGGGAGAGTTTTGAAAGGGGGAAGACAGAGGGAAGGGAACATGGCAAATTGTCCCAGGCCGGATTCGAATTATGGTCCTCCCCATGTGGATCAAGCCATAGTACATAAGCCGCCTGCTCTACCATGAACATTTTTTAAATCATTTAACAATATTACCCATATAACAGGTAACAATGTTAAAATATCTTTTTGAGATGCTCAGGGTCAATAAGGCAGTGAAGAGTGAGTCCTGACTGGCTGAATGCAGTTTTAGCAAGATAACAGGCTCTACACTGCATGTTGGGAGTCTGCTTGACCCTCAACATTACTTTATCCTCACTGATGTGCCGCCGCCAGTGTCCAATTGCTCTTTATCACTTCCTGCCCAGCTTCCCAGGCCATGGCACTTGCAATCAACAGGATGTTTCTATGGCTAACATTATAACAAAACAGTGTGGCACCAAGGCCTTATCACTGAAAACACACTCCTACTAAAATGACCTCATTCGTCATTGAGCCTGTGTGGGTCTGACAGTGTAATGATACTGGGTTAGTGTGGTCTTTGATGACCATACTAACCCTACTGGAATATACGAACACAGTTTGACCACACTGAGTAGAACACTAGTGCTGTATGCTTATTCATAACAAGCAGTTGTTCATGACCTAGTTTAATTTCCAGTTCCCTAAGACAAACAGGTGAGAAAAGCCACAGGCTGTTTTTCTCCTATTCTGTCATTTCAAAACTCTTGAGGTCACCGTTGAAAAGTAAGCAATGTTTGATCCTCTTTTTGGCCACCGTCACTGTTGAGGTTAGGTTGATGTGAGTGATGCTGTGCAGAACACCCTCATTTCCGTTGGGGTAGCATGTTGCCATAGTGAAAAATAAGGGAACATGGAGTCACAAAGTCTCAGCTAGAGAAACCAGGACATGATACAATGCTGTTGGAATTGGGGAAGTGGAGAGAGGTTTGTGTGTTAGGGCTACATAGGGTTTTTACTCATGTCCCACATGTTTAGTTACAGAAAAGATCAGTTGAAATGTGGTGAAGAAGGAATGATATCATGCTAACAAAGGATTAGTAGGTTAGTGTTGGTGCAGGAATTAGTTGAAGGGCATATCATTTAAAGTTAGTTATTAGGCGCATTCACACCGCAGTACTTTTCCCACAAAGGTTCATCAGAACTTAGTTCTCATTAACTAAGTACAGATCGCGTTCACACCGGAATAAGTCCCTGGGGGAGGATTAGGCAAATGAAGCCGCTGACGTCACTTCTTCTTCTTCTGCTTTAGGTTTACTGGCAGGCCGCAAACCACTTCACGGCGTATACTGCCGCCCAAAGTCCCCGGCCGGAAGTCCCCGGAGTTGGGGACTGGCTTCAGTAGAAGCAGCTGGGACTCCCAGCAGCTTCTACTGAAGCCTTCCGAGTAAATCGCCAGAACGCCGACACCTCCTCATCTCCACCGCTCCCATGTTTTATTTTGTGTTGCCATAAGTTAGTCTCTCTCCGTTTCTGAGCTGGGCTAATGCTAATAATGCTAATGCGAGGATAATAAAATGGCGGCTTCACAAAACTTTTTGGGAGTTTTACAATCCGCCCAGCCAATCAGACATAGGAACCTTTTTCTCCCACGAAAGTCCCTGCTCTCTAGCAGGGACGGAAAAGGGGGTGAAAAGGTTCTCATGAACTAATTTTAGTTCCGGCTCTTTTTGGTGTGAACGCGACATTTCGGAACTATATCGGAACTAAAGTGGGAAAAGTACTGCGGTGTGAACGCGCCTATTGGTTGTTGTTTTTTGTACCTGGTCCTTTCAGTGGATACTCCTTCCAATGGTCTCTGAGTACAACATGCAGCACAGGATACTCAATCATTGTTTTGAAGCTCAGGTTGTCCTTTAGGGTCTTGTTAATGTCCAAGTGATGGTACCTGTTTCAGATCAAATTGAGACAATACAAAGAGGTGATTACAAGACAACATATGCTGTGACTTTCAGCTAATTGCAAGTGTATGAAGCTTGAAACAAAGAAAAAATAGAAACTGTTGACACTTTTGAATAGACAACTTTATATTCCGGGCCGATTGTGGCACTTGATGGTTGAGAATAATTTAAGGATTGATAGAGTTTTTGATTCATGGCTCTGCCGATTGAATATCCTGCTTTGAGTTCTCAAGAGATGGAAACTGACTTGACCAAGCATCAACAACATATCTCACATTAAGCAGATCTCATACCCCTCCTTTGGCTCTTTGTATGAGATGACATCAGTCTTGTGTCTACGTAGTCCTGTCATGCATTAGTGACGGTCATAAATCACCAGACTAAAAAGTTAACTGGATTCTTGGGAGACAAGGCTTGCTTCTACACTCAAGTGATTCAGAACTATCCTGCTTAGGCTGTCACCACCGTAATACGAAGCATTATATATTTTGGATGTTTACAGTAACTGGCACCTACCCCGCCAACCGTCAAAGCCATGCCAGAGTGGAGATTGTTGAGCCATTGTTTGTTTTGCTAAAAGCACGAGCAGACTGAGAACCGCCTAGGTAGACACCCACTCTCCAAGCCAATCAAAGCACTCTGCTATAATGTGACATTTACAGGTCTTAACTGGCGGGGCTACTTCCAAGAAGCCCTCCCTCCTGGAAGAGTTTCTCAGAGGTGGGCGAGAGATCATTCCAGACGATATCACAAATAAATGGCTACATTTTTGGCACTTCCTGAACGACAGGATAAAGGAAAGAAGAGATAGTCTGTGGGCTTCAAAACACACAAGATATCTCTACAACAAATAGTTGAAGGGTATTTCTGGACCATGTCCACATTAGAAGAGAAGAAATAGCTCAGGTAATTTTAGGGTAGAAAGATAACAATATGGTCAAAGGTTAAGTATTGAAATGCTGGTATGTGCAAAGTAATTATATAAAGCAGAATATCTCAAAGGACTGTAACCATGTGTAATCTGCATTCCAGACAAATACTGTTTCCATTTAATTTGTTTTTGTGCCTGACTTACCGTATTAAGGAACACGGATGTTTTTTTATTTTTGGATGGATAAACTTACCAAACAAAAACACGAGTGTATACAAACAACAGAGAGAGTAAGTTTAGATGGCAGAGCAGATTACAGCTCCCTGTGGTGTTGAATTAATCCATTGTTAAAAGTATTGGCCATTTCTAAAAACACAACTGGATGGCTCAGCCAAACACACACACACACACACATCTGGTCTCTATATAGTGTTCTGGTGAACAGAACAGAGGGCAACACTGATGTTCTCTTCACTGAGGTTCCTATTGTTTACCCCTCTAATGCTGACACCCATCAGCACGGATACAGAAGAAGGTACAAGGACAACAAATATTACAAAATATTATGATGCTGAAAATATATGATTGTGATAACAAATAATTATGTTGAAAACTCTTTGTAATTCAGTTCAAAAAATAAACTGGGCCTGTCCAGAGATGCCTGCTAGTTGGTACTATCATTGAAACATATGTAAGACTGAAAGGTTCTTGTTCAACTAGGCATTATTTTGAACAACAACTTTGCAGTGACATTGCAACTCCAATTGCCACCATTTCTGTTCTCCAGTAATTACACATTTTTTGCTGGTAAAATCTTTTGAAGTCCAACATTAAGTAACTTCAAGTGAATATCATTTCCTCTGAGCATAATTTAAAAATTGAATAAAAAGTGGCCTAAACTTTTTGTTTTTACAATTCATTATCAATACTATGCTGAACTTGCCATTCGAAACCTTCACTGGTAATATTTGCAAGTAAATGCAACTAGATGCCATCTTGTTTGCAGCTCTCCAGTGTTATTGAGTCTTGAATTTCTTGACAGCTTGGGAAGTCTGCATCAGTGATTTTCAGCCAACAAGGTAGAGCATCCTGACAAACAGCTTAATCTCCAAGTAATGCTTAAAATGACGCATAATCTGAAAGGTTAATATTTGACCAACATTCATATTTGTTTTAAACACCACACAGGACGTTAATACTGTTTGTTTATAACAGCAAGTATATGCACCTCCTGACCATCAATAATGCACATCACAGGAGCTACAGGAGGTTAGATTTACAAAATATTGTTGCCTTGAGCTATAGTAAATCATAATAATGTAGAGCTACCAAACATTACTGTGCAAACATACAGGATTCCTGCTGGCTGTAGCCTGAGGCACACAGGTGGTGACACAGCTTCAGCACTAACACACAAGTTGTTGTTTCTGAAGCGGCACTGTTAGTTTTGAGTAGTTAGGAGCTTGTGGTACACACAAAATGTTGTTTCTATGAGCATCCCTCTGCTTTCTTTTTAATGTCTGATTTTAAATGCCATTTTCTTAATCTCTTTCATTTTTTGTAAAGCACTTTGAATTGCCTTGTGTTGAAAAGTGCTATATAAATAAACTTGCCTTGCCTTGCCTTGCCTTGATTCTGACAGAACTCAAAACTTTGTTAGCGCTCCAATAGTGTTACGATCTTATGAGTTATTATTGTTATTATAATAATTAATACATGTATTTGTTGAATTTGAAACCCTAACCTTATATGACAGGTTGATATTTGGAGTTGATTGACGTAACAATATATTGTGTTTGTAGCATGCATACGAGACAGTTGGATAAATTGTATCGTCTTAAAGGTCACCTATCATGCAAAATTCACTTTTTGATGTCTTTTATACATAAATATGTGTCTGTGTGTCAGGGAACTCAAAAAGTGTCAGAAATCAAAACCCTCTCTCTTTTCCTCCGTACCCAAATCTCTAAAAACAGGGGTACAAAGGAGCTGATCCAGATTTGCGTCCGATATGACGTAATATCGGAAATGTGGACCCACGGAACTATCAAAAACGTTGCTATCAGATACAATGCCCGACCTGTTTTGGATGTAATATGGTCTTTGTTTACATTAGCAAGCATCGCTAACACTCAGAGCTAACCTGTACTGGAGAGAGTATGTGTTAGCATCACTGTCAAGGATTGTGGAAAAGGTAGGACCCAAAAGCAGACTACAAAAAGAGTAAAGGTCTATAAACAAAAGCGAGCTTTATTAAAGAAAAGCTGATCAACAAAAACATGGCAAGGATATACATGAGTAACACGAGGAAGACAACATACCAAAAACGATTGTGAACAACATGAAGGGAGACAGGAAAAACAAACAATGAACCGACAGGAAGAGACAAGCCTAAATACAGGGAGGGGTAATCACGAGACGAGAAACAGCCGGGCAGGGGAGGCAGAAACACAAGGGCAACAGGTGAACACAATTAGACAATCAGACACACCAGGGAAACTAACGACAGGGAGGAAAACACAGGGAGAAGGACCAGACAATATACAAGGAGGAAAACATGAAACAGGGAGAACAGAACAGCAAAATAAATCCCAAACCTAGACATACAAAACTAAAACCGTGACATAACACCAAGATCGTGACAGTATGTGTAATAAGGCAGGAAATAAAAAAAGGGAACTCACCTTGTGGTAAACCCGCAAGAGAAAAAGCATTTGAGCTCCATACTGTTTCATAAATAATCCTTGATGTGGTTTGGAACAGGATATGGCATTTAATCACAGGAGCATTTAGCTGTATCTCCGTAATTCTGAGCAGGCACAAGCTCCCCCCCCCCCCCCCCTCAAGCTAAGGACCCTGAATCAGCAGTTCTCTAACAGGGCTAAAACAGAGGGATATGAGGGATGTCTAAAATGCATGATTTGTTTTGTATTTTGAGCAAAACACATCATAGACATGTTTTTTATATATTTTTATATATCTGAGACCCATAATATATGCCTAAAAATAGCATAATAGGAGACCTTTAATATGTAGTGCACTATATTTTAGTGACCAATAATTTAGGGAAGGCTTAATAAGGTTGACCACATATTTATTCTGGTAAACATATTTCCACAGTCTAACAGTGACATACAATTGCCCAATATAACCTGCTTGCTATTTTAGTAACAATTGCCCAAACCAGTCAAGCATAACAGGAGACCTGTGGAAGCATCTAACATAACAAACTAACATCGCTTTAGGGCAAGCTGAAGGAGAGCAGATCGACAGACTCAGGAGGGTTAAGGAGAGGGTTTGCCACAAATATGTGAGTGAAAACACTGCCTGGACAGGACAGAAACATCACTGTCTGATGGCTCCACAACACTGGCAAAAAAACTGAATGCACACACAGAGGATTCCTTTTTTTGGCTGCAAAGATATAAACATCTCTACTTCTGGCACGTCAACAGGCTGGCTGAGAGGAAAAGAGGTAAGGGAAATTAGGAAAGGGCATCATCTGGATCTTAGGAGTGGGATGAATAAAAAATAAACATACAAAATAACACAAACAAACATACAGAATGTGTGAATGGTTCTTTTGATGCACGGTCTGTCTCCTTTCCAGTAAGAGAATGTTGACTGGTTGCACAGCTATGTTTAGCTTAGCACAAGAGCTCTTTTATAGGAGTGAGTTGATATTCCAGTAAACATACAGCAACAAAAACATGCCCTTTGTGTTAGACTTGGCTCTAATGGCGCATTTCCACTGCAGCGGGTAGCCCCGTTTAAGCGTCCTTAATCGTCCTCAAGCGGCCAGGCCAGTTTTTGGTGGCCTTTCCATATAGCTTAGCACCGGCTAGCGGGTACTTTTTCCGGCCCCATAAACTCGTGGTTCTATCAGGCCAGGGCCAGGGCTGAATTAGTGACGTCAACACTCTCGACTGCTGATTGGTCAGAGAGAATCGTCACAAGATCGCGCGCAAGATCATCCCTAGCGTCGCATATATATCTAGAAGCAAGCTTGCAGCATTTTTATACACAGCATTTTTAAATGAATCGCTTCCACATCGCTTCCACATCCTCCATTGTTGTGTGTGTTTTGTGAGTTGTGTCGCATTGAAGATGACGCCA